CAGTTTGTCTGGGAAAAAGATAAACACCCTATCCAGTCATTTTGGAATCTCGTCAGAATTTTACCAAGGGAAATATCAGATGGTTTGTAAAATACAAAATCCTTTTTTAATGTTGGTTTGTTTTTTTTTAAAAAAAGCAGTTACTTTGCTGATGGAAAGCAGCTTGCTTGCTTCTAAGCCACAGGCTGTTGCATTTTGGATTCTGCATCTCAGAAGGTTAAAAGATAAATCTACAGAATATTTTCTGTTCATAGCTGAGAAACCACTGTAATCCTAACCTTGGCTTTGCCATTTAGCTTGCTGAGAGTGTATGTTAAATACAGAGAAGTATTAGGATTAGGTCTGAAATTCACTCTGATTCAGGGAGCCACTAGAAGAACCGCAAGCTATTTAATTCCTCCTTTGAAGGTTTCAGTGCTGATGAAGTGATACTTAAATGATCTTTTCCTTCTCTCTATTTTTTTTTCTTTTCTTTCTTTTGTTTCTGTTTTTGGAGCAAGCTTTGAGCTTAAATTGAGCTGGCAACTTCCTTTTCAGACCTCAGCAGCTGACATCATTTGTACAGCAATAATCAACAACAGGAAGAAAACATCTGGGCTTGGAAGCACCAAGAGATCAAGGCTGTAGTGGGCTAGAGAATAAAGGGGTGACAAGAGTCTGTGTTGCCATAGCTTGGCTTCAGCGTGTCCTGCAGACGTGAGGCCACTCCAGCGGCTGCAGGAGTTGAACATTCCTGGTTTCCGAGATGAAGGAATGAAAGATGGGGCAGTAAACTGTCGGGGTCGCTGGAGAGGAGCGGATCAGTGAGGTCGGGACAACACTCTGCTTTTCGCATGGGAAGCCTCCAGGGTAATCTCCATGGCTGGGGCGGAAGACCTCGTGTCCATGGTCCTGTGGTGGATCGTACTCAAGGGTCATCCTGGGGAACCTAGGGCTGTGGGAACGCGGTGGATGGAGCTTTCATCAGCTGCTTTGTACCGCTCGGAAGCACAGAGACCTTAAAGAAAAAGCTTTTTGTTTTACTCTGAGCTCTTGAGCTCTGCCTGAGGGTTGGAAGGAGAACTTCCTCTGAGCTGCATGTGGGCGATTCCTGCCCATACCAATAGGCAAAGTAGCTGCAATACTCAGTTCTTCTAACAGCAGGCAAAGAATCAATCTTGACTCTTCTATTTAAAGGATCTAGGCTCCTTCATTACATGTTTGGGCTCTAGCTATTATGTTTTTACTTTAAAAAAAACCCAATAACAACAAAAACCTCTAAAAACCCCCAACCCTTTCATAAGCCCTAGCATGTAGGGACGTAGGCCATGGTTGTGCAATGTGGTTGGCCCCTTCCATTGTAACAAGGGATGGTAAAATTGTTGAGACAGTTGCATTTGTGTCTGAATTACTTGGAGACTAACACTTGTGTCTTGACGTGGAGCATCTGCTGTTCCCGCTGCCTCACCTGCGGCAGCACAGCTTCCTCCCTGCTCTGGGGTGGCCTGTGTCAGGCAGCCCATGGTATGCTCCACCACGTTGCTTCTTCGGCTCCTTGTTTGCTGATGAGACAAAACTGAGAGGGGTGGCTGACACGTGGAAGGTCACGTACAGTGTGACCTGGACAGGCTGGAGAGTTGGGCAGAGACGAACCTAATGAAGTTCAACAAGGGTGAGTGTAGGGCACTGCATCTGGGGAGGGACAACCCCATGCATCAGTACAGGTCAGGGGTGGACCTGCTGGAGAGCAGCTCTGGGGAAAGGGACCTGGGAGTCCTGGGGGACAACAGGATGCCCACGAGCCAGTAATGTGCCCTGGTGGCCAAGCAGGCCAAAGGCATCCTGGGGTGCATCAAGAAGAGTTTGACCAGCAGGTCAAAGGAGGTCCTCTTTCCCCTTCAGTCTGA